CAGAACCACCAGGTTTGATTTTCGTGGGGGAGATAAAACCTCCCCTAATTGCGCAATGACAGGCAAAGACAGATGATTTGTCTTGTGGGGGGATGGCACCAGATTAACCTGGTTGTGGCTTATAGACTACAAGCAGATGTTCCAGGGACTAACTGCATGAGTGTCAACATTCCCTTTCAACTACACCTTTAGACTAGTTAGGAGGGGCAACTTCATTTTTGAGCTTAACTCTAGAGCTGAGAAATGTGGCTTAACAAAATGGAAAATAGGATCAATTGCAGAATAGAATCAAAATAGTAGAAATTCAAGGTAATATAAATTTTTATCTTTTCACATTATGTGTATATGCATTTCCCAGACTGTTACATACAATTGAATGTGCAGTCTAGCCCTGTAAATCTATAAATGAACTGCACCCATAACAGAGCAGTAGGTGACTAGTCTAGCTTGCCTCTGAAGAATTGAAAAGTGCTCTCAGTGACCTAACACCATTCCCTAACAAGAAAAAATCCATCTCTTCAATATTCTCTGTACTCTATAGCTGCTAACCATGGAACACCACAAGGGGAGTAGGGGGGAAGGAAGATTGAACAACACTTGGCTGCTCATGCATGTAGATCCCTTGTAAAAGCTGAGTGTTCATAATTCAGAAAGTGCCTTTAGAATGGAACCTCAGCACCATAAGATTAATGGTAGTTTAATATTAATGTAAATCCATTGTACTTACCTAGATAGTTGATAATTTAACAGTTACTGAAAAGGTTATTTATTAAGTTGTCTCATGGATGTTGAGAACTATTCTAAGCCTTAAGGGGGATACAATGGAAAGAGAAGGGTAAAGGTCCCTGCCCTAAAGGACTTGGCAATCTAAGGAAAAATACAGTGCAATATAGACTCAAATTCAAGGCTGGATAGTATACACTATAAGGAATTCAGAGAAGGGAAAGATCTCCATGGAAAAGTGTGATTCCTGAGTTTTACTATTGGTAGTATTTGGAAGGCTGTGGACAATGGGAATGATACTGCAGGTCTGGAGCAGGGCAAAAAATGTCCTAATTTCTTTTTAATGGAAAAGAATAGGCCCTGTGAACTATAGACCAATGAGTTTGACTTTGGTTCTTGGGAAAATCTAGAATGGATTATTAAAGAAGCTGGTTAGTGAATAACTGTAGAAGGAAGTACTGATCTCATACACATACACACAAGAACAGGTCATATTGGACTAGCCTATTTCCTTTTTGACAGGTTCACTTGAGTGGTAGATCAGGGAGATGTTATAAATATAATATACATAAATTTTATCAAAGTCTTGACTAATTCATACTGTTCTTATGGAAAAGATGGCTAGATGTGGGCTCAGCTACAGTACATTTAGGTGGATTCAGGATTCATTGAATGACCACATTTCAGAGTACTTTTTTTTCTTTTTCCTTATATTTCCCTATTACTTTCTGACTTTTCCCCCTTGCTGATGGGTATAGTCCTGAGTTTAAGCTGCAAAGCAACTTCCTGCTGAACCTATTAGGAGATATAGGTTTCACATCTCTGTTTCTCTGTCTGTTTCTCTCTCTCTCTCTCTCTCTCTCTCTCTCTCTCTCTCTCTCTCTCTCTCTCTCCACTGGGTAACCTTTAGGGGGGCAGGGTTGATCCCAGCTGCGTTTCAGTCCCCTTTCCTTCAAACCCAGCACAACCACACAAAATTGCTCTTCCCTGCCTATCCCAATTCCTCCCTTGACTCTCCACCTTTTGGGGGCTATATCCTTGTCTACAGAGTGGGAAGACAGCAGGCAGTATGTTCCAAGTAGTCTCTGAAGCTTTAGGGGTCTCTAAACTAAGTCTAGGTCCAGTCAGAAGGCAGCATGATTTTGACTCCTCTCCCCTGTTCCTCAAATGGCTGGGTGGAATCAGTGTCTGCTGCTCGATATGCTGTATGTGCCCACAATGTCTCTGCAGCTGAAGAGATCCTAGTATAGGCTCCAGGGGTTCAGGTTACCTTTTTTGCTGGGTGCATAATATCTCCTGGGAAAGGGGCACTGAATGAGGATTTAAAGGATTATTGTTCTGTGCTGTTAATTCATGAAGATCTTAACTTGTAGGGATTCTCTTTAGTCTGTGGATTCAGCTGTAATTGTTCTACATATGGTGTATTGTTCCTCTTTTTTTGGTTGGGGGAAGGTTTTTGACAGTTACAGGTTTCTTTTTCAAGAAAAACAAAGTTTTAAAAAAGCATGCTTCAATCTGTATTCAGACACCATCAGTTCTTTCTCTGGGGATGGATAGCATTTTTCATGATAAGTCTTTCAGAGTTATATTTCTGAGAATAGCTAAGTCATTCACAGCTGGTCATCTTACAAGATTGCTGTTACTTTGTACACAGTACATTTCACCTTGCATCAGCCCATGCAAGTCTTTCCAGGTTTTTCTGAGAGCATCCTGCTCATAATTTCTTATACTATAATAGTATTCCATCATAATCACATACCATGGTTTGTTCAGCCATTCCCCAGTTGATTGGCATCCCCTCAGTTTCTAATTCTTTGGCCTCAGAAAAGAGCCACTATAAATATTTTTGTGCATACAGGTCCTTATCCTTTTCTTCAAATCTCTTTTGGGATACAGATGTAGTAGTGTGGTACTACAAAGTCAAAGGGTATGTATAGTTTTATAGCCCTTTGGGCATAGTTCCAAATTGCTTTACGGAATGGTTGATTCAGTTCACAGAGAGTTAAAGGTTTTGAAGAATGTGTTTCATCTGCCATCTTGCTGGCTTCTACAACTTGTAAGTCTCTTAGGGTAATTAATGTAAATTAAGTGTAAATTAATTGGGGATTTCCACTGAAGGGCTCTAGTGATCTGTGGTTGACCCTGTGCTGTGTAACATCTTTATCACTGACGTGGCATGCTTATCAAATGGTCAGATGACAAAAATGCGAGGGATAGTTGACATACCAGATAACATAATCAGTAGCTAACAAAATCTTGACAAGTTAGAATATGAAACCTATTTTGATAAGGCAAAATTGAAAAGGAATAAATGTAAAATTGACTCGGGCTAAAAATACTGATTTTACAAGTTTGAGATGTGGAAGACTTGGTAAGATAGTAAATTTTAAAAAAATACTCTGGTGGGGGGAGTTCAGAGTGAAAGCCCATTCCCTCATTTCTCAAAGGGACTTAGCCTATGCTCATCAGCTTAGCCCTTTTCCACCAAACATTGGTTATACAAAAGACCATTGTGAATAGTAAAGAGCAAGTAAAGCCATTTATCCAAGCAAAATAGTGAATAGAAATTGAAGTTCTACAGAATATACCAGAGAATACACAAGAGTAAATGAACTTATCAGCTGGGAGTGAGATAAAATCTCAGCTCAAACAAGGAGAGAGGAAATAATTTCACTAAAGGGAGTCCACTCTCTATGGCTATGGGTACCAGAAGTCCAGGGACGTGATGGAGGCTGGCTCCCCTACTTATGTGTAGCTCTAAAGCTCTAGTTTGCCATTCAAAGTCTGTACCTTTCCTCTCTTCTCTCCTGAACCTCTTTTCTCTCTTCCTTCTCTGCCTTGACTGCCTCCCCTTTCTCTATTCTTCCATTCTCTCTTTCTCTCTTCCTTCTCCTTCTCTCTTCCTCTTTCTTCCCCTCTCTTCTTCCCTCTTCTCTTCCTCCTCTTCCTTCACTTCCTCCTTTCCTCCCCCTCTTCTTCCCTTTCTCCTTTCTTCCTCTTCTCTCTACCCTAAAGTATGTCTGAACAGTCTATTCCTTTCTTAGGCCCACAACATTGCATTCAGCATTTTTTCAGCCGATCAGGAATTATATTTCCATCCATGTATGTAACTTGAAGTATAAAGCTATCCCTCTGACCATCTAAACTGAGCAGGAGTGGGATTTATATTTGGTAATATTACTTAGAATCTCTATTCTCAGAGTTTCTTGCTTAAGAAGGAGGGAAATCCTACAACTTTTCTTAACTTCTTAATTCTGCTATTTTTGCTGACATCGTTTTGTCTCTTAAGAAGCACATGGCTCTCAGGAGACTAAAATAGATGTCATCACTTGCTGAGTTTCAAGTTTGGCATTAGGAGGGTCATAGGATCATAGATTTAGATCTTAAAAGGACCATAGAGGCCATGCAATCCAACCTCCTCATTTTCTAGATGAGGAAACTGAGACGAGGTAAAGTGTCTTGTGTAGGTCACAAGTGGAAGTCACAGGACTTGAACCAAAGTCCATTGACTCCAAAGTTAACATCTTTTCTTTTTAGATATTCGATTTTATTTTATTTGCAGTTCCAAATTCTCTTCTTCCTACCTTCCTCTCTGTTTAATGTCCTTTCTGCTGTACCATGGAGCTACCTATTAGTAGCAACAGGGAGAGCTTATCTGCTGAGAGTAACAATGATTCATATGTACATAATGCTTTGAAGAGGCAGCATGATATAATGGGTAGGGAACCAACCTTGAAGCTAGGAAGACTTGAGTTCAAGTCTAAACCAGCATACTGGTTTTGGATAAGTCATTTAAGTTCTTAGTGCTATAGGGTCTTAATTGCAGAGAAGGAGCTGACTTACACTGGTAGAAGGAATTTCCTCACCTAGGAGGTTGTTACACTAATGAAATCACAGTTCTAGGCTCTGTCTCCATAAAAACCTTAAGGTTTACAAACTTTCTTAACAATAGCTCATTGAAGTAGGGAATCTAAATATTATTATCCTTGTATTGTAAATAAGGAAACTGAGGCTCATGATTCATGTGTGGATACAGCAAGTGTGACTTCGAACCAGGGCAGGTGTGTACATCTGCAGCTTGGTGTAATAAAAAGAGCGCTGGCTGTGGTGTCAGAGAATCTGTTGAACAAAAAGTGAACAAAAATCTCTTTATGGCAAAAAAGATCACCAAGGTCCACATATATCCTTTATACAAGCAATTTTTAGTTCAACTAATTTACAATTGCTCAGTTATATTTTTTGGATATAATAATTGTCTTTAATCTTTATTCATGTAGGGATGGAACCTATAGATGTGCCTCTAGATGAAAATAGTGAAGAGTATCAGATTTGTCAGAGCAAAGTCTGTGCAGACAGGTAAGCATTTTACAATGTGAATCTCTGATCTTGATTTCTAAGTACATTATAAGCATGTAGATATCCTAGTGGTGTATGGTAGATATTGGGCAAAAGGTTTTTTTTTTAAATGGTAGTGGTAAATTATTTATAGTGTTTAAACTATAGTATTTAATGAATTTATTGTTTTTGCTAACATTTACCAGCAAATGAGCAATTCTGTGGTTAGTGGCCAATCCAGAAAGGTTAAAAGATAACTCTTGTACAAACATTCATCTGAAGCTAAATTTATTGAGATGAAAATTTGAGGTGTCATCACCTGTCATTTAGTCTCATGGTACAGGAGTGTGACTTCTTATTGAGACTTTAGGCATTTCTAGGTGGGTGAATGTTCCACAGGATCAATTTTTTTTATTATACTGTGTTATGGAAATGCTTTTTTTATTCGTAGATTAAAAATAAAATAATAAAAAAAGATTTGTAAGGTCTCTCTGTCTCTCTGCAAGGTCTCCACTACTAACATCTGGATTGTAGGTACATGAAGAAAGCAACATAGTAAGATTTCTGGCCTTTCCTATGCACAGGAGAAACCTCAGCTGCTCATGTAGACTAGAGAATCCTACCCAGTTTTCTAACTTATCAATCTTGCTTTGTGCTTTTTAGCGTTTTAATTTAATTATTCCCAGATTTATATTTTAGCTTGTTTGAATATTTAAACTGTTGAGGGGGGATTTGAAAAATGGGAAAAAGAAAGGGGATAGTATCTGACTCTTCCTACAGCCTTGGGTTGGGGTGTGTTAGACATTCGTATCTGTACATTCCCAGATTCAAGGGTTCCAACACTTCCGTGCAGATGTTTATTATCTGTATGGGCATTACTTCTTGGGTGTCAGAACCTGAGGCTTCTTGGATCAGGCAGAAAATAATAAAAAGAACAATAGTGCCATTGTCTATGGCCTGAGTACATGACTTAACTCTTTTGAGCCAGATAATATGCTTTAAAATGTGCTATGTAGATGCAATAAATAGGTTAACAGCAGCTAGGTGGCACAATAGAGCTCTGGGCCTGGAGTCAGGAACACCTGAGTTCAAATATGACCACCGGAGAGAAACTCCCCTGGACAAGAGGTATTCTTGCATCCATTTGTATTTTCCTTTGTGATCCAATTTCACTTCAGTAGTTTTGGATATGTAACCCTGGGCAATTCACTTAACCTTGTTTGCCTCATTTTCTTCATCTATAAAATGAGCTGTTCAAGGAAATGGCAAACCACTTCAGTATCTTTGTCAAGAAAATCCCAAATGGAGTCACAAGGGGTTGGACACGACTGATTGACTAAGCAACAACATATATGTTAACATTTTACTCAGAGCTTTTTTCTTTCAGTACTAGAGGAATTGAGGGTTTCTTATATCTATGAGATGGATCAACAGGCAAGTATACAAGGCTAAAAAAAAGGCATCTGGTATGATAATATAAAGGGAAAACATCAAAGTAAATTTCTAGAAAAGAAGAATATGTAACAAATTTAATTCTGATTTTTAAGATATCCCAAAGAGGAAACGATGCTAAATGTTTGGGGGCAAAAATCAATTCTTAGAAAAAAAAAAGAAAAGGAAAAAAGATAATGAGGATACAATAACAGCAACACTTACCTTCTTAGGTCTGTAGAATATTTATGACAGTGATCTAAAGAATATGAGCCTTGATGAGAATATGAGGAAGGAATAGATAGGCTTTTACGAATTATGTTCCCCAGCAGACCATATCTTCATGGATACAAAATTTACTAAAAGGTGTTTATTTGTAGATTACAAAAGGGTTTTTTCTTCAGCAGAACACAATGCAGCCTTAAGGATTCTTCCCTAACACACTATGTTCCATGCACATGCTATAATCATACAAGGTTCTTTGATAGATACAACTACAGAGGTCACTTTGTTCAGCGACCCTTTGATCATTAGCATCAAAAGAGGAATAAAACAAGGGGATATGTAACCATCCCTGCCCCCAAAGACATCATCATAATGCACTCTGTAGAGTCCAAATCAAAGAGAAATTTCCATAGATAATGAGGCCTTCCTGATATTCCTTTTGGGGATCATAGAATCATATTTTTAGAGCTTGAAGGAACTTCCAATTCCCTCCTCAAATAACATCTGATTGTAGGATCATAAATTTTAGCTTTGGAAGGGACCTTTCAGATCATCTGGAGCAACTCTCTTATTTTGTAGATGAAAGAACTGAGGCCCAGAGATGTGAAATGATTTGCCCAAGGTCTCATGGGTGATAATAACTGGCTAAAGGAGGATTCAAATCCAGATCCTCTGACTCTAAATTCAGGGCTCTTTCCACTGTGCCATTCTTGATGACATTGTATTTATGGCATCAAACTCTGAAATAGAATAAAGTCTCCTCAATGAGATCTACAACTATTTTTTAAAATTCAGTTTTATCTCATTTTCACGAAGTTATGAATTTTCTCCCTCTCATCTCCCTTAAATCCTTCCCTTCAAGAAAGCAAGAAAAACAAACTGCTATTATAAACACGCACAAAACAAATTCCTACATTAGTCATATCCAAAAAAAGGTCTCAATCTGCTCCCTGAAGTCCATTACCTCTCTGTCAGAAGGTGGGTAGCATATTTCATCATCAGTTCTCTGAAACTATGGCTAGTCATTATGTTGATCAGAATTCCAGTGTTCCAGAGCTGTTTTTTATAATTATAATTATGATAGTTATAATTAATTGTTATATATGGTAATTGTATAAATTATTCTTCTGGCTCTACTCACTTCATTCTGCTTTGTATCATACAACTCTTCCCAGTTTTCTCTGATACTATCCCTTCATCTTTGTTACAAAATAATAATATTGGGCAGCTAGGTGATACAGTGGATAAAGGACAGGCCCTGGATTCAGGAGGACCTGAGTTCAAATGCGGCCTCAGACACATAACACTATGTGACCCTGGGCAAGTCACTTAACCCCATTACCTAGCCAAAAAACAAACAACCTCCCCCAAATAATAGTATTTAATCTTACATTCACACACCATAATTTGTTCAGTCTTTCCCTAAGTGATGAGCATTCTCTCACTTTCCAATTCTTTGTCACCACAGAAAGAGCTGTTATAAATATTTTTGCACATATAGATCCTTTTCCTTTTTCTTTGGACATTTACAACCACTGAAGTGAGATTGGACCACAAAGGAAAATACAAATGGATGTAAGAATATTTCTTGTCCAGGCGAGTTTCTCTCCTGAGCTCCAGTCTCCAATCATTAAAAGCTTTTTCAACAAACTGGATGCCTAATTGGTATCTCTAACTCTACATGTCCAAAACAGAATTCATCTTTTCTCTAGATCTCTCCCTTCTGAACTTCCCTGTTATTGGGAAGGGCATCACCATCTTCCTAGCCACTCAAGTTTGCAAAGTTGATGTCATCCTCCACTCCTGGCTGTCCCTTGACCTACATATCTAATCCATCGCCAAATCTTGTTTCTACCTTTACAACATCTTTCATATCCAACCCCTTTTTTCCACTCTCACAGCCACAACCCTAGTTCAAGCCTTCATCACCTCTTAATTAGATTATTGCATTAATTTTCTAATTGGTCTCCCTATCTCAAGTGATTTTTCCCAAAGTGTAGATTTGTCCATGTCATTCCTTGATCAATAAACTCCAGTTGCTATGTATTACCTCCAGGATGAAATATAGAGTCCTTTGTTGGGCACTTAAAGCTCTTTATAATCTGTCCCTTGCCTATATTTCTGGTCTCATACTTTGTCCCCTCCATACATTCTGTGATCTTCCTAAACTGGCTTGCTAGTTGTTCCTCAAACATGACACTTCATTTCTTTCTCTGTACCTTTACACTGGCTGTAACCCATGCTTGGCACCTTGGAGCTTTCTCTCTCATCTTCATCTCTTAGTTTCCCTGACTTTCTTTAAGACCCAGCTCCTGCATTCTATAGGAGCTGATTGCACCTTACCTTCTGTCTACTCTGTATAATTCTTGTATATGCTTCAGTATTTATATGGTAATAATATATAAATAAATGATTGTTAAATATAGTTGGATGGGCAGCCCATTCAGAGTCTGTCTCTATATATGTATGTATGTACTTATACACACATACATGTATACGTTATATACACACATATAGGTATATACACACACACCTCTTAGACAAATACTGCAAATACATAAGGGACTGGAAGAATTCAGACTAGATTGCTTTGGGGAAATTGATCTGCAAGTTTATTGATCACAAGCTATTGCTCTGCAAGCCATCTTTTTAATACCAGTAATCTCCCAATGATACCAAATGGCTACAAATGACATATACTACAATCTCTGAGGAGTTGAAATCATGGGTAATTTAGGCTTAGTTGATAGCTGGATGGTGAGTGTAAGTAGGCTGAACCTGCTTATTCATATTACTAAAGATTACTTGTGAGCTGGAAAATAGCATAAAAGATATCTTGTAGGAAATGTATGATTGGAAAAGGAGAGGATAATAGATAGGCATCCCAAGTGCAGCCCTGTTACTTGTGGATTGTTGGTCACTCTACAGAAATGTCTCCATCATGCAGGGCTGGGCAAATCCTTTGTAGTATTCCTAGGAGGACAAGGGCAGGACATGGATGGATTAAGATTTATACCACTGGGAGCAACACCCCCCATCAAGGAGCATACAGAGCCATTGAATGTTGGAATATAATTGAACATTTAAAAAATTTCTTCATTTTATGTGTCTGTATTTTAATAATTGTGGTTCTGTGTGCTTCACAGACTGAGAAATTATTGGACTGAATATTTTCAGAAGTTGTTTAGTAACACCTCAGATCACCACATGGATAGGAAAGGGGTAGGATGTTCTGTGTAAAAAAAAAAATCCAGTTAGTTTGGTGTTATTCTGTACTTGTGACAAAAACGGCTTTTATGGGCAATCTCCTAAAAGCCCTCAAGAAAGGGAAAGCTACATAATGAGATCTTGTGTTTGCCTCACCTTTCCAGAGAAAGATGTTAGGTATTATTTTTTTCCTTAGTAGAAAAAGAGGTAAAGAGGATTTTAAGAACACCTGTGTTTGTACCTCCCAAATCACATTTAGCACATTGTATAACAAAATCTGGCAATGTTTACCTACTTGTCAGAGACTTCCTTGTATCTCCTCTTCTCTCCCTTCCCTCCTCAAGGAAAAAAACCAAAACAAACCAGATCAAGAAACAAGTCAAAACTATGACCTTAGGGCTTTTTCAAATAGCAAGGCTGTAAGTCTTATAAAGTGTGAAATTCTAAGCTTTGTGGTTCTTGATGGTTGTAATTACATATATAATGCTCTTCAAAATGATTTCTAAAGCTTTATTCTCTCCTTGCAGGGTTCACACAGGCAGCAGCTTTTAAGTATCTTATCAAAATTGTCAATTCTCTCCGCCTTTAAAAACCTTCATTCTTTCCCCTCCTCACCACCTCATTTGCTTTTGAGTATTACTTAGAGATTCCACTTAACCTGAGCGCTGCTTAAACAAGATTTTATTGTCCTTGGATTTGAAAATTAAAAGAAAATTGGGAGCGATTATACATTATTGCTTAAAGAAAGACTAACAGTCTCTGTGTCTTTTTCTTTTTAGGGTAAATATGTATGATTGTGGGGAAAAAATTTCAGAATGGTTGTCAAAATTTTTTGGTCATCATTGTCGTTTGATGAAACAGAGTTCAAATTTCAAAAGAAGTGCAAATAAGAAACATAGAAAAGGTAAATCTATTTAACCTGGTGCTTGGAAAATTGGAATCTAGGCTTATCTAGTATGTTGGCCCTTGTGAACATCAGTATTACATGTGGACTTAATTTATGGGAAAACATATTCTTATGCATAAAACTGAGACTGTTCCATCTTTCACATTAGAAAGGAGAAATTAGGGGCAGCTAGGTGGTGCAGTGGATAGAAGAGCTGACTTCAAATCTGGCCTCAGACCAAGACACTTGACACTAGCTGTGTGACCCTGGGCAAGTCACTTAACCCCAATTGCAAAAAAAAAAAAAAAAAGAAAGAAAGAAAGAAAAGAAAAGAAAAAAGAAAGGAGAAATTACCAACCCTATTCCAGACAAGGTGATGTATTATTGGTTAGTGGATGTGTAATGGTAGATAGGCTATTTGAGAGGGTTTCAAGGGTTGACCTCAACCCCTTTCTTCAAAGGTTCAGGTGTCAGACTTGCATGAAGCTTACAGAAGTTTTTGATGTAATGCACCTGATAAATTATCAAGCATATAGGCTACTGTCAGAAGACATCAGTTCTAATCTTGCTTCTTCCCGTTGGCAAATAGCTTAATCTTACTGTGTTGTAGTTTCAGTTTTTTCATCTGTATATGAGTAGTGTTTGGAGGTTCAAAGGAGACAGTATAAGGGAAGCCTTTTTAAAAATAAAACTATCATTTAAGTATAAGGCATTATTCCTTGTACAGTGACCTTTTTACCCTAAAGTCCTCCTCCTGTGCTTCAATGTGATGTGGAAGTGACCTTGGTTCTTAGAGACTTAAGAGACCAGGAAGGATGGCCTTAGAGATGGGCTGTCTTGTGTGTTCATCAGTTGAGCACTAGCCTACTTATGTTTCAAGAGAATTACTGCCAGAAACATGGCAGCAGGTGACAGATTTTTTTAGCTTTTGTAATTCATGAGGACCATCTACTAAAGCACAGAAGTGTTTCAATCTTAATTGGTAGAAAGAAAGGCATAGTCATGACATCATGGCTTCTTTAAGTGTTGACATAAGTATCAGTATACAATGGAGCATCAGGCTCTGGTACATTGATTTACAATAACTAAATGCCCAAAAGTCTAATCTTACCCAGAATGCTGGCTTATTAAGAAATTCCATTTATGCATTCATTCAATTTGCTAATAATGGTGTCAAACATTATGCTTTCTTAATATTTATTTTTACAAAAGATACTAAAAAAATTGTTTTTTTATAATGGATCCAAAAGGAAAAAAAAAGTCATTTCATGGAGGCCTGTGATTATGTTGAATTTTAGGACTTATGGTCATTATTTGCAAAAAGACCACCTTGAAAATAATTGTAGCTTATCTACCAACATCTGTTGCTGAGGTAGACAAATTCTACAAAGAAATCATTCGAAGACCCTCAAAAATTGCATTAACATAGGCTATGATAGTTGGTAACTCATGCAGAAATGGCAAAAATATGATCAGGAGTAGGACCTAGGTTTGTAGACTACACAGAAATTTTGTCTATAAATTATCAGCATTTTCTTAGAGAATTGATTGGCAAGTCCTAGATACAGTGAACACCAAGTAATAATCACAAAAGAAACTGAAAGTATTTTGACGTACAGGAAATGACTTTGTGCTGCTGTGATAGTGATGTGTATGGTGAAACCATCAGCTTTTTAGGGCAAATATTAAAACAGATGTAAAACTAGCAGAAAAAGGATAATGAGAAAAGGCTATGGCATACAATTGAAACAACTCCAGTCTGACATATTCAAACAGGTTCTTGATATCTAAAGTGGAAAATGGTTATAGGAAAGTACATTGACAGGGGTGATAGCAATTTTATGTAATAGTTTAACTGATTTAAATCAATTGCTATAACAAGAACTTAAAAGAAAAGCATAAAAGACTCATTAGTTAGTAAATATTTGTTCTTCTTAAAGTACAGAAATAGAATAGCCCAGGGCAACCCCAGTTTAAAATATAAACTCATTTGTAAAATTTTATGGAGAAGTATAATAGAAAATTATGAGCAGAATCACCTCATAAAACAGTAAGAAACAATGAAAGAAAAAACAAGTTTAAATAAAGCTTGGCACAAGACCCAAATAAGCAAAGTCAATTGGAAGGAATTTAAGGATGAAAAGGGAAGGAGGGGAACAAACGTGAAAAATGGAAATGCAAATATTTTTCTACAAAATTCTTTTCGCCACCAAGGATAGTAGAACCATCCCATTTGGACTCAAACTCGCAGCTCTAGACCTGTTTGTGGAGAAAATGGAAATGACAGAAGACAGGAAAACAAAGATGGGGAAAAATTGCTAGGCAGAAGAGGTCTGTTCTAGAGCCAACATAATTAAGAAGGCATCGTGGTATCTAAAGGAAGGCAAGATACTAAAAGTATCAACTCTTTATCGGCCCCAAGGAAGCAACTGAAAGAACATGAATCACTTCCAGTTCTTAGCTCACTTTCCAATTTATATAAATGTCAATGAGAATAATCTACACATATATTGAGGCCTTGTAAAATAGTCAAGCCTTGGAAAGCCATATTCCATAGCAAATCACATCTTTACCATTACACAACTGACTGAAAGACATAGAGATGAAAAGATGCCACTGTGTTTAAGTGTAAAAAAAAAAGACTGATTTTGTAAAACCAAATGCCACCTTAAAGACTCTTGTCCAATAATAGATCTCTCATGCATATGTCAGTATTATAAATGATTCTCTGACAGAGGTCACAGAGACAACTTTGTTCAATCATCTGACTGTTAATATCAAGCAAGGAAACTCCAAGATGTTTGCTACTGTCATGGAGGAAAAAATCAAGGGCAGAGCCCAAGTTGAGAAGAGAGTCCCTCTAGGTGGTGAGGTCTTCCAAATGTTCTTGGTAGGAGATGCTGTATTGACTGTGTAGAACAGTGCAAATCCTCCTAACATATGTGCATAATCACTTTAAAGAGGTTGGTCTACTGGGAAAAAAGGTGGATTAATAATAACAACTAACATTTTTATAGCATTTACTATGTGCCAGGCACTGTGCTAAATACTTCATGATTACCATTTCATTTGATTAAACTCATTTGATGAAGATTGCCTGTTGTCCAGACTGTGATTTGCAGTGATGTGGACAACTTGTGGAGATGGTCCATTAGTCCACATACCTTGGAGAAATACGCTGAGGATGGACAATAAGTTGGATCCAGGACTGAACAGTAGGAGAAAAGCAGGCTGGATTGTCTTTAGGCTATTAAAGGCATGATGAGATTTTCCAAAGACAAGCCAGGCCATTCTCCTCATAATCAATCTGGGGCCCACTTAATTGTCCTCTCTTAGTGACTGTCATGAGATACATGTGCTGTTAGACTAGTTGTAAAGGTTGTTCATCTAGTTACATTTCACAATCAGGACAATAGATAATTTTCGTCTTCATCTACAATTTTCATTTCCCCCCTCTTTATCTATAATTGAGCCATCTTTTGAGTCATTATGGAAGTTCTATAATGATCTGGGACTGAATGAAATGGATGAAAATAGTTTTTTTTTGTTTGTTGTTGTTGTTTTCTTTTAGGCAATTGGGGTTAAGTGACTTGCCCAGGGTCACACAGCTAGTAAGTGTCAAGTGTTTGGTCTGAGGTCAGATTTGAACTCAGGTCTTCCTGACTTCAAGGCTGGTACTCTATGCACTGCACCACCTAGCTGCCCCCGAAATGGATGAAAATAGTACAATGCACAAGTGGGAACATTAAGAGGGACTTCATCTTCAGATTTGCTCTTTGCACCGGATGTTCTTGATAAAAGTGGAAAACATCTGTGAAAACCATATCTTCTTGTTTTATGATTCACTTGGCATTAATGTGTGTGTGTGTGGTCATCAAACAAGCTTGTTGTGACATTTTTCAAGGAGTCTTATATGATTTTACCTATAGAGACACCTTGTTGGTTGAGAACATGGGAGATGAGGCAGCATTTTATTCCACAGAATTGAATACTTTTTTGTAGTTAATCAACAGTAAATCTAGAAGCATCTTTTATTGTTTATACCTTATGTCAATTATGTGACTGTAAAGATGTGATACCCTGTAGAATAGTATTTGCAAAAACTTGCTTCTTTCCTCCTCTTATGTTTTCATGAAGGATGCCTTTGATATAAATGAGGATGTCTTATGAAGATTGTGGAGAAATCAAAAAGTAGTCACATGAGTCAGTTATCAGTATTTTATCTGTTACTTTTTGGGTCGTATTAATAAAATCTATGCTTTAATTTCCTTCTTTAGTATATCTTGAATTTCAGTCCCTCAAAATCATATTACCTTCAATGTAGACCTTCTCTGTCTATATTTGATATAGTCCTTGCTATTTCTACCTTTTTCTTTCTTTAGTATCATTTCTGCTGCTTCTTCATGTAGCATGCTAGGGCTATGTTGGTCATTGAAATGGGGTCATTGATAAAGAAAATAATTTGTTATATAAATCTTAGCATATATTTTCCATTTTTCTCTGTTACTCTCTTTCCAGTTTTATCTGTAAGTGCAAGCTTTTTATAAACTTGCTTTTTTCCCCTCTTGCTTCTTGATGCTTAATGAAGTAGTATAGCTCATACCCTTTTGCTATCCTCTTCCTTAAGAATTCATTAAATTCACATTCGAAACAAGCAACCACTCTTTGCCATAGCTCTCTAAGCAAGGATCACAAGATGATGGATTTAGAGGTGGATGGGATCTTAGAGGCACCATTGAGGCCAATTCTCTCATTTTACAGATGAGGGGTTGTCTTAATAAAATGACCTATCCTATGATTTTTATTTAATTGTATAATTTGAAATTGATCTTTGCTCCTACAAATTGGTGGCCTGGCTATACACCAAGAACTAATGAGTAATTAACAATTAATAATTATTATTATATATCAATTTATGGTTTATAAATAATAAACAATAATTTAGAAATTATTCTTACATTGGTAACCATTTGTTTCCTTGAAGAATATTGGCTCTGGAGTCAGAGAATTTAGATTCATATGCTGATTCTGATACTTACTAACTGTGGGACAATAGGTAAGTCATTTAACCTTTCTGGGCCTTGGTTTCTTCATATATAAAATGAGGGAGTGGAATCAGATGGGTCTGAGCTCTTTTCCAATTCTAGATCTTTGAGTCTATGTTTTCTGGCATATTCTTTGCTGTTTTTCTCTTATTCCCAACTTTGCACTGAAATCACAGAGTGACTTCACACCAAGTGTGTATTCATTGTGTTGATTTAGTTGGATACTATCAGGATCTTAGAATTTCTCTACTTTTTCATCTTCTCCAAAAGATGCTATTGCATAAGTTTATTTTTTATAGTCATTTTCTTTTTGGCAATTACTTTTCATGAGCACTGTAAGACAGAAGGATCAAATTTCCCATGAAATCTTTATTTTTGTGTTTTGATTCCTGATGAGAACAACTGTACCAACTCTTTTATCTGCCTCTTCAAGGAGGACCTGTAAATCACCTTCTTTTCAACTACAACTTCCTTTTGTCTTCAGGCCATATTTAAAGCATTTCCAGCTGCCAGAGCTATAGCTCTGTTGGTACAGTATTCCAGAACCCAAGGTATCTTCCACATTATGATGAAGCATAGACTTACAGGGGAAGCATTGTGGTGCATTGGATATAACCATGAATTGGAAGTTACAGGACCCAAGTTCAAATCCTGGCTTTGCCCTTTTGCTACCCATGTAATGTAAGAGAAGTTGTTTAATTTCTGGACCATCATTTCTTTATTTGTAAAAGGAGGGTTAAGGCAGCTAGGTGATGTGGTGGATAAAGTGCTGGGCCTGGAGTCAGGAAGACTCATCCTGAGTTCAAATCTGGTCTCAGACACTTACTAGCTGTGTGATCCTGGGTAAGTCACTTGACCTTGTTTGCCTCAGTTTCCTCAAACATAAAATGAGCTGGAGAAGTAAATGGCAAACCCCTCCAGTATCTTTGCCAAGAAAAACCCAAAGAAGAGTCACAGAGTCAGACACGACTGAAACTACTGAACAGCAACAAAAGGAGGGTTGTTGGACTAGATGAGTCCAACGTTCCTCCTACCTCTAGCTCTATCATCCTACTACTACTACTCCTCCTCCTCCTCCTACACTACTATGAAGAAATATAATATATTTCTATACAAACATACTTACGTAACTGAAACTTGGTTGACTATACAACTGATCTTAAGGCATTCATAAATCAAGCCCCCAGTTCACTTTAGGGTGTCATAAAGTTTCTGAATTTGGGAGTCATGTGACACTAATTCATGCCTACCATCTTACAACTGTCTGCTCCCAACTGCTCTTTGCAGCTTCTCTACGTGGACCACAGCTGAACCATGGCAACCAGCCAATGCCCAGTGATGGTCAGCCTTTTGTGGTTATAATGAAGCCTGTTTTGATAAGTCAAGGACACCCACGAAGCCCCTAGCTCTATACCAGACTGCTCTGCAAACGGAAGTGACTGCAGTGTGATCTAAATAATCTGCAGATGATTTATTTTTGTTCTTGTTGTGTTGTTTCAGTCATGTCTGACTCTTCTGTGACCCCATTTGGGGTTTTCTTGGCAAAGACACTGGAGTGGTTCACCATTTTATTCTCCAGCTCATTTTACAGATGAGAACACTGAGACAAACAGGATTAAGTGACTTGTCTGGGGGGGGTGTCACACAACTAGTAAGTGTCTGAGGCTGGATTTGAACTCAAGTCCTTCTGACTCCAGTGCAGGAGCTCTTTCCACTGCACCATGTTCACAGCCTCATGTATGTTAATGAAAGGAGCTTCTTGGATTTGAATCCTGGCCTCTGATACTCACTACCTGTGGCATCTCAAGCAAATCATTTAATGTCTCCAAGCCAGCTTGAAAAAATGGGGATAACAGCATATGCACCAATATCCCTCATGGAGGAAAGCAGTTCATAAATCTCCAAGTGCTATGTAAGTGTGAATTATTGTTATTATTAGCCAGAAACTCACCTATCCCAAAACACATTAGCATAACCCTCCATTGCAAAGCAAGTTTAGAAATGTTGAGTCTTCCTTTTGTGAGCTTCATAAGGGGTATTCAAACTAAGTGTAAGCTTTATAAGGGGTCACACAAAGTGAGTGTGACTGGACAAAGGTATTTGGAAGGAGACCAGCAAATTCAACTGATTGGAAAAGTGGTGGAGGGGGAAGTAAAGAATCACCATGATTACAAAGTTGAGGGTTAAGTTGATGTAAGACCAGCCCTAAGATGCTGTTACTTCTGTGGTGAGAACACAATGTGAAACACAGAGAGGAGATGGTTGGAATTTCTGGTTCTGTGGTTTATTTTCCCCTTGGGAAGATTTTATTTTGCGGCAAAATTTCAGCATAGTATTGCATTGATTGTTAATATTTTGGACATACTTTTAATGACAAAATCATATTATTTTATCATCATAATTGTTTTGCCCTTCAATTTATGAGTTTCATTCATTTTAAGGGGAATTTTCATAGGATCATTATGACTAGGCCTCCCAACTTTTTTCTATCCGAATGCTTCTTTACTTTTTTCAAAAATCTTTAAAGCAGACCTTGTGGGAATGACTGTATTTAGCTAAACAAGACATAGCATATTTTTGCTTCTAACTATGACATTAAAATGCTGAATTATTTCTTTTTAGATCCACCTCATGCCACAACAGCATCCCTTTCTTTGGTAAACGAAGCACAGTATCTCCTGATAAACAGAGCTAGTGTTTTGGAGCTTCATCAGCTGTTAAATGCAAGGTAAGAAATACTCTCTTAAGAAGAGCCAGAGCCATGTAAGCTGTTGGCAAATGATGGATATTTTGTAGACAACTGTTTCTTAGCAGCTTCTGCTACTCTCTGGGATGGTCCTCTTGTTTCTTTCAAAATGTGACTCACCCTCATTGATGCTTAACAAATATTTATTAAATGCTTATTATGTGCAAAGCACTGTGCTAGTGAATTGGCAGCTCAAGAGTGTGTTGTTTTCCCAATCACTTAGCAGTAGATATTCTCTAAGGAGGTGACTTTATGGCCACAGCAGAGAAATGAAAGACAGCCCTGATATCTCATAAAAAGTGCATATCAGAAGCCAAATTTATTGTGATGAAATTCGGGGTTTCGGTTTGTGCTTGATCGTGGATGGGAGTGGAGGAACAAACGTGATGAAATATGGGTTCTTGGAGCTTTTCCAGGTAGAACATGTTCCTCCAGACCTGTGGGGGTCTCTGGTTTCAGGCTACTGCCATTCCCTCTGATGTAAGTGCTAACACCTTAGATGAATGTTTTGTGGGGATTGGCACATGGGTGGCATTTCCTGTCATGGGCTATAAAATTCTCAGCAGGCTTTTTCCCAAGATTTATACCCTATAAGATTCATGGGGTCAAAAAGCAAGCTTAAAATATAATTCATGGTCATACTTGAGATTGGATCTGTGAAGAAACCTTCTTATCTATTTATGTGCTTAGGATGGAAGCAGGGCAGTATATAGATGTTTCAGATGAGTCCTTAGTCCTCCCAACAATGGGGGAAGGGACTGGATCACCCGTAGGAATTGAAGGTCCATGATGAATAAGAAACCAAATCCAATTTAATTCAACAAGCATTTTTAAGCCTGTACAGAATGTAGAACACTGTGTTAGTTGCTGGAAGTAGAGGAGATTTAAAGATACAGTTCCTTCTCCAAAAGATCTTATAGTATTGTGAGAAGATTAGATACAAATATAACACACAATTTTAAATTGTAAGTAAATTTGACAGGTGTAAAGCAAAATGGTTGTAATGTCTGAGGTAATCATTAATAATAGGGGAGATCAGGAAAGGCTTTCAGGATTTGGAACCAGAGGACCAGGGTGTGAATCCTGGTTCTACTTCTTAATTAACTACAATTTGAGCAAGTGTTTTTCTTTCTCTGAGCCTCAGTTTTCTCATCTGTAAAATAAGGGGTTGGACTAGAGGATCTCTAAGCTCACTCTCAGCTGCTAATCTGTGATTCTGTGGCCTACATGATATTTGCATTAGGAATGCATTACTGTAAACATTGTGGCATAGATAAATATTTTGATGTCTTGTCATTGACCTCTTTTGGGTTTATGCTTAACAATGGAATCTCCTAATCAAAGAGTAGAAACATTTTAATCACTTTCCTTGCTTTCCATAATGGCTGCATTAACTCACAGCTCCACCTACAATTAATGTACCCATCTTTCTACATCCCCTTCATTTGTTGTCATTCCCATTTGTTGTCATCTTTGCCAATTTACTGGGTCTGAGGTGAAACCTTAGGGTTGCTTTCATGTGCATTTCTTTTATGATTAGGAATTTGGATCCTTCATAAGAATGTTAATTGTTTACATTTCTTATTTTAAGAAATGTTTGTTCATATTGCAAAGGTGTTTTAAACTTGTTAAGTGATAGCTACTAAAGATGTTATTATTAGACATGATCTTGATGCCCTTCATCATCCCTTCCTAGTTGCCCCCTTTTGGATATTCTACTTTATTTTTTGCTAGACAATTGGGTTAAGTGACTTGCCCAGGGTCACACAGCTAGTAAGTGTCAAGTGTCTGAGGCCGAATTTGAACTCAGGTCCTCCTGACTTCAGGGCTGATACTCTATCCATAGCACCACCTAGCTGCCCCACTCCTTTGGGTATTCAATGGCTTTGCTATGTCCTTCCTAAAACATGATGTCTGGACTAAATATAATACCTCAGTTATGGTTTAACTAGGGCATAGTACGCTGAGACTGTCACATCCCTAACCCTGAACACTCTATCTCTCTTAAAAATAGATAAAATTACACATAGAATTTAGGGTTTTGGGGCAGCTGTTTACTCATGTAAATCTTACTATCTACTAAAGCCCTTCTCAGATGAATTGTTGTCTAGCTATAATTACTCATCTTGTACTTGTGAAGTTCACTTTTTAGACACAAGTGTAAGACTTTACATTTATCTCTATTAAGCTGAATATTGTTAGGCTCCTGTTTTATGTTCTAGTTTGTCAAAATCTTTTCAAATGCTGGTTATAACTTAATTTTACTCTTTATCTTAGCTTAAAAGAACAGGCTAGAAATAGTGAAAGGAGCTTAATCCAATTATTTTCAATTCAACATATATCAAATGCCTACTAGGTACAAGGCACCATGTCAGGCATTCAATTAAAAACAAAGTTTAAGAAGTGTCTGTGGCAGCATAGGCAGCTGGGTATAGCGGGTATCTTGATTCGTGATCTTGATTCTTTGCCAGCTCTGAGAACATAGTTCTGCCCTGGGTTGAACTGGGAAAGCAGACTTCACAGGGTTTAAAGAAAGCATAGGGAGAACACAATGACTTAAATTCTTCAGGGTAAATCAGCCCAGCATGGATGTCATGCTTTCCAGAACAAAACTGATAACCCAGAGAACAATGAGAGGAGCATGACTAGAAAAGTCAAGGTCTTCAAGTTCATACCCTGTGAAGATCACTCAAAAGGATTGGGGGTGTTTGGCCTAAAGAAGAAAGAAATTGAAGGGGCCATGTCTTCCAGGATTGAAGGGCTACCAAGTGGACAAGGCATGAGATTATATTACTTGACCACAGAGGAACACTGTTTGGAAATTATAGACAGGCCTTTTTCAGTCAAATGTAAAGGAAGTCTCCCTACTCATCGGAGTGATCCAGAGGTTCAGTGGCTGCTTCAGATGGTATTGCACACCCTCTCACAAAACATCTTCAAGCCAAGAATGCCTCAGCACTGGTTGGGGATGTTATAGAGGGAACTTTTTTTTTTTTTATCAATAATAGGACTGGATGTGATTTTTTTTAATCTTTAACCAATGAACACACATTTATTAAGTACTTGCTGTGCACCAGGCAGAGTGCTAGGTGCTGGGGATGCAAGTACAAAGAACAAAACAAACACAAGGAGTGTAGAATCTAATGGGGAACAAATACATATATAATTATATACTGCATAAATATGAAGTGGATAAATACAAGGCCATTAAGGGTGGAGGGCATTAACGGTGGGGGAGATCAGGAAAGGCAAATTTTCTTTCAAGGATTTTGACTGAGAAAGGGAAGGGAGATACAGAATGAGAGCTTGATGGGGATGGTAGAATGTAAGAATTTATTTTTAAGGACAGGGAAATTTGGAGAAGATGAGAGGGGATGGAATCAAGTGTACATGTAGAGAGGTTAGCCTTGGGAAGGAAAAGGGCTACTCCATTATCAGGGTGGAGATATGACAAGGGATAGTGCTGAGCAGTTTTCAGATGAAGAGAATGGGAGATGGGAGGATTCACACGGAATAATCTCAATTATCTCATTAAAGTAAGAGGCAAGGTCCTCAACTGACAGAGAGAGAGAGAGGGAGGAGGAATTTATAGCAGACTCCAAAAGGTTTAAAATAAGTTTAAAATAAGGAATGAGATGGGAAATAATTTAGTGAGGAATAAAAGCTGCAGCAGATAACTCTTATATAGCACTTACTATGTGCCAGGCACTGTCTTAAGTGCTTTACAAATATCTTGTTTCATCTTTGAAACAATCCTGGGTGGTAAGTGCTCTAATTATCTCCATTTTACATATGAGGAAACTGAGACAAACAGATGTTAAGTGACTTGTCCAGGGTCACACATCTAGTAAGTGTCCGAGGCTGGGCTCTCCATCCACTGGAATGAGGATCTAATTGAAGTTGAATAACATGAAATTTTAGTGTACCAAGTCAGCACAGTTGTGGACTTCCTTTATCTCCCAGGAGTAGAAAAGGTAGATGGATGGAATAACCTAGGGCTGAGGTTTGGTGAAAGATGAACAAAAGAAAGATAAAGGAGTGAGGGATTTGAGAGGATATTGTTGACTTGAAATTGTTCAGTTGTTCAGTTGCGTTCCACCTTTTGTGACTCCATGAACCATAATGTCCATGGTGTTTTCTTGGCAAAGGAGTGGTTTGCCATTTCCTTTTCTAGGGGATTAAGGCAAACAGGTTAAGTGACTTGCCCAGGGTTGCACAGCTATTAAATGTCTGAGGTTGGATTTGAACTCTGGTTTTCTTGGCTCCAGGCCCAGAACTCTATCCACTGAGCCACCTAGCTGGCTTGAGTTGAAATGGCTAATTACAAAACTGGAAAGTGAGGAAAATGAATTCAGAATAGAGATAGAGTCCTGAAAAAGGCCTGAAGGGGACCTTGAAGGCCTTAATGAGGACAATGATGAGTGAGGGATAGGGACAAATGGAATGATAGGACTTTGTGGCTAGATAGAAGAATATCACATTTCTTAATTAGAGAAGTGGAATACTTGTGGACAATGTAGAGATATCCAGTACATGAGGAGTAGGGCATAGGATTCAAGAAGGCTGAAGGACTGGGAGGTTAGGTAGAGGGGATGGGATCATCAATGCGACTGTCACAGTGTGAATGTTGAAGTCCCCTAATGTAAGAGAAGAAGAATGTGAGCGTGATGCTGAGCATCTTGACAAAGGAGGAAAAATGAGCCGGGGACCAGTGTACAGTTGCCACCATGATTTCAATTGGGAAGAAAATTGTGATTGAACTTTAAAGGAGGAGAGGTAGCTGAGTAATGGAAGCAAAGAGAGAGGGTAGAAGTTTCGTTGGGAAGCAAAGAGTTTTCTGAATCTTCTAGGATCCGTGTATATGCAGGGTGGTCAGGGAGACGCAGGGTGTGAGAGAAGCTGCCAGAGAGGAGGCCATGGGTGGAGTGTCGGGGGAGACAGGATTCAGTGAGAACTAGTCAATAGAAGGAAGTGTGAGAAAAAAGGAACCTGAATTAAGGGAATTCCAGAGTTCACAGCGGAAGGGGTAGGAGGGGATGGAGTAGGATATAAGTGGAAGTGGGTTGAGTAGGATAGGATTGAGGTCGATGGAAGGTAAGAGTTGCTTAATTGATTAATACAAGGGTAGTGAGAGATCCAGGAGGTGGGAGATTGTTAGCTATAGGAACATTACCCAGTTGCACATGAAAAGTGAAGCTCACACCCTCCAAGGGTTCTGTTGCAGAGGGTTCTGGACTGGCACTGGATCTGGTTTACCTCTTTTCTTCCCTGATGATACTTCTCCTTTGGGTTGGTTGAAGGCAGCTTAGGTTACACTGACATTCTGTGACTGACTCTTGGGTGTTCTATCCTTTCAGGGCTTTCCACTGTTTTTAAAGATGTCTCATATTTTCACATCTTTAGAAATAAATAAGCCCATCACCTTATGAAACTTATAAGGCAATCTGCCTTATGGAATTGGCCTTCTGACCTCTGGCTTTAGAAGTCTTTGGTAGCGGTATCCTATTGCACCACTAGATGGTGATATTTCCCCACACTATTGGACCATCTGGCGAGGAAAAAAGATATGTCACTTTGCCTTCTTGAGAGAGAAAAGAATTCTAACATTTCTCTAGAAATAAAGAAGCTCCACTGCTATCCAATCCACTCAAAACTATTAGGTGGTAGAACCAGGCAGGACCTAGACCTCCTGACAGTTCACTGGTTTTTTTTCACCATATGCTGCTGAAAATTTATCTTGTCTTCATGAGACACAGTTGCCGACTCCAACTTCATTTTATACCCTATCAAGACTTTTGTCATGCTGGTGATTTTTGATGGTTTTCTCCATGGTAATAGGATAAGTCACTGAGATCGAATTTGTAACTCCTGGTGATATTTTCATGGCTTAAAGGTAAGTGGTTTTAGGTGATGTGGATGTACTTAGACAACTGGGGCTCAGTATTATTATTTAAAAGCTTTCTTCTGTTTTATTTTTGGAGAATTAGTTCTTTTCAGTAGTCACCTCACATCAGTTAATCAACAACCATTTATTAAGTGTATATGATCTTTCCCCCAGGTTTCCCAAGCCTTTCATTTCTTTAACAATGGATAATTTAAGAGCTACATGAAATTTCAACTTCTTTACTTCTTCCAGGAACTTACTCTGTGTCTAAACATAAGCTGTAGGTGGGCCAATGTCTTCCATTTATAGATTAATATATGTTCCCCAAAATCTTGGTAATGAAGTCTTGTAAACAATTTTCCACTATTTACCAAGGCCCCAAGTACAAGTAAGGTGTCAATAAATAAACATGAGTAGCTATCTAGTCAGACAGATAAATAGTTTTGATGGTACAATTAACATATTACTCCCAATCTGGGGGGATCTGTGTATTGACAGTGATGAAAATGGAACCAAAGAATTATTGCCAATGAGAGAGCTAATTCGAACGTTTCCGTGCCAACATAGTTATCAATGGAACTAAGGCTTTTGAAGAAGAAAAATGGGATGAGATTTCCATTGGCTCCCTACATTTTCTGGTAAGTAGCAAAAAAGTTCTATTATTCATACCCTGAGGTTACCACATAGATCCAAGCTTTGTATAGTGCTGTTAAAAGAACACTGACTGTAGAGTCCAAGAACCTGTGTTCAGATTCTGCCTCAGACCTTTACTCAGTGTTTGACCTCAGGCAAGTTACTTCTCCTCCCTAACCTTCACTCAGTTTCCTTATGTGGAAGGATCCTATGCCCCCTTTCCCTTGCCTTGTCAACATTTTCAGTCAAACTAAAAGGATGGTAGTCTAGTAGTAAATGGTAGCATGCTTCTCTCAACCCTACTTGGTAGATTTCTAGTCTTTCTAGCTAAAATGCTGTTGAGGTGTGATAGGAGGGTCAGCGTGGTGACGGTGGCTTCTGTCAGTGTCTAGATGATGTGATATCTTGAATTATTTGAAGGGCTGTCCTTCAGAATGGGGATTAACTTGTTCTGTTTGGCTCCAGAAGGCAAAACTAGGAGCAATGAATGAATGAGCACATGTTGTGGGGGCACATTTATGCTTGATGTCAGGAAAAAAAACTTCCTAATGATAGGAAGTTAGAAAATTTTAGGCAAAGACTAGATGAGTATTTGTTGCATGTCATTTAAGGGATTCCCTTCAGGTATATGTTGGGCTAGATTGAATGAAGTGAAGGTGACTGCTGACCACTGTGAGGATTTAGGGATTCTGAGAAGTCTGACTGGTTGGAATTCCTTCCCAGACTATCAGCATCATCTCCGTAAACCTGGTCAATTTTGAAGATTCAGGTTTGGAACAGAGTAATCGGTCATCGCAAAATTTTCAGTCATCTGTCTCCATCCTCAGTAAAGATATGACCTTGCACAAAGAGGCAGTCTGGCATTGTGAGTAGGGTGGCAACCTCTACCACATTTTATCTGTCTGACCCTAAACAAGTCACTTGGTCAGCTCTATGCCAAAGGCAATTCTCTAAGGCTCAAAGTTGCAGAGCAAATGCCAGTGTGCACTGGCAGAGGGAAATTCCTTACCAAGAATTCCCTATAGCAGGGAATTCACAAATCTGGTGCATTCTACTTCCCTTAATGTCTACTCCCTGTTTCAGTAGTCAGCTCACACCAATTAATCAACAACCATTTATTAAGTGTATGTGATCTTTTCCCCAGATTTTCCAAGCCTTTCATTTCTTTAGCAATGGATAATTTAAGAGCTACCCAAAATTTCAGCTTCTTTGCTTTCTTCCAGGAATGTATTCTGTGTCTCCCAAAAAGTTTGCAAAACTCTATTCACTAGGACAATGAAAAAAAATAGAATAGAGATATTTTTAAGTATGAGATGGTCTCCTCTCCTAAAAAATTCCCAGAATTCCAGGCCACCAATCTTTGCCACCGACCTGAAATTGAAGCTTGGTTACCAGGGAGTTGCCTTTCACTGTCAGCCATGGTCCTGGGCTGACAGCACAGCAAACAGCTCTTGAAGGTTAGGGTTGGAATTTTGGGTGGAAAAGAAAGATTCCAGATGAGTTCCTCTCAACCAATTCTAACCATTCTTCACTTTTTGTTTTTCTGTTGCTTTTGGCTTCAAGGCAATCAAAGAAAGGAGGAGAAAGAAGGGCTCAAAGAGATGTAGGGCAAGTGAGAGGGTGGCTAGACATCTAAGGGAGAACAAAGAGCATATTTGATCTGGCATTTCTTGATGGAGAAAGTCTACATAAAGTGGTTGGTTATACTTAGGATTCTAAAGGCCAGGTAGTCAATGATTCTGATTTCAACTCTCTGGTTATCTAAATAGTAAACAGGAGATAGAGAGAGAATACATTCATTTAGTGCTTATTATGTGCTAGTTATTAATTATTAGTCCCATAAGCTCATTGCCTCTCTCCTTTTTTTTCTTCTTTTTAAAAATTACTCTCTCCTTTCTTTAACACCTCCCCCTCCCCTAATTCCTTCTCCTTTTCTGGCTGTCCTTCCTTTTTGGCCATACCTTCACCATCTTTTCTGATGCTTCCTGTTCTTCCCATGTCCCTAACTACGGTTTCACCCAAAGTTTTGCTTTAGCCTTTTTTGGTCTTTCCACTCTTTCCTTCAGAAATCCCACCCACATACACAATCTTAGCTATTACCTCTTGGGAATGACTCCAAAATCTGCTCTGAGAGCCCTGTCTTTTCACTTGTACTAGTCTCCATATTCCCAATTGTCTGTTAGAAGTTTTATGTGGAGATTGTATCAGCGTCAGAAATATAGGTGAAAATGAGTCATAGACTCAGGAGCCAAGACCAGAGAATCTAAGCTAAGATGAGGGGTAGTAGGAGGGTGTAGACATGAGATTGGGTCCAGTTCGGAGAAGGACCAGCAAACTGGTGACCAACATTTTGGGTTAGGACCCAGGTGGATCATCAGAAATGAGAAAATGTACAAGTACCAAGATCAGGGCCAAGCAGTAGGTAAGAATTAGGGCAGGATCAAAGACCACACAGTTCTTGAAGGTCAAAACAGACAACCTAGTCTGGAATCCAGGGTTACAGCCTGGTTACGAGCATTCAGAAGCCAGGCGAACATTCTGAGCAAGAGGAGTCAGAAGCTAAGCAAGGAATCTGGGCATTGAGTACAGGACACCAGCAGCAAAGAAGATCTTGATACTATGCCAACACTTTCCTTCTGCCAGGGAATTTTTATCTATGTAAGGTTTAAATCTTGTTTTCTCTTCAACTGCTCTGTACTGTTTTTTCTCCTGAGGTGAAACAATTCATAATTTTCCTGTCTCTCTTCTCTGCAGTGTTTTAGAAGTGAGTTTGCAACCTTGTCCTTGGTGACCGTATTTCTGCATTTGTCAAGGGCATTAAGCATTTGCCTGAGATTTTAGAGCTGGGGTCAGGGAGGGGAGTCTTTTAGTAGGCTTCTTTTGTTAATTTCTTTACAGAGATTAAAGTTCTCTGAGAAATAGCAATAGTCAGTGTCTTTAGAGATGGCTGGGCAGAGGTTCAGGCCTGATTCCTTTAAGACAGATGGTTAAGATTCCCATTGTTGCTAGGAATCAAAAGTAAGCCAAGCATCCACAAGCCTAGTGATTAAGATAGCACCTAGGGAATTATGGCATCTGTGAAAAAGGGCTGGCTTGACGTCTAGAAACCAAGAGGTCAAGATAGAAGTGAAGTAACCAAAGTTTTCAATTGCCAGAAATAAATCAATCATCTTAGAACCAGGAGGACAAACACTGAAGTGCAAAAGGACAAGCATGACTCCAGGATTCAGGATGGTAGGTAGAGCAAGATACTACCAGCAACTGAAAAGCAAGAGTGAACTTCATCCTAGGGCCCTTTGGGGCTATATTATACTTCCTTCTCAGAGTGATTGGCAGTAGTGTGGGATTGAGGTGTATGGCAAGAAATAATTAATCATACTCTGATAGCAGGCACACTCTGATTGTGGCTAAGGTTAAGGTATAAAATTTTGGGATGCATCATATTCTTACTATACCTCTGCACCCCATTTTTAGGATCTGGATGTGATTAGGATGCATACAATGGAAATCAAAGAATTTGGCCAGAGTTAACTTGCCCAGGACTGAACTTCAGAGTTATAGAATTATTCAATCAACAAGCATTTATTAAGCACCTACTATGGGCTTTGGAGATATTTGGGGATATCAAAACAAAAATGAAATAGGACCTGCTGTCAAGGAGCTTACATTGTATAGGAGACAATATGTATACATGTACATGTATTTTTAAAATGCTGGATAATTTGGATGGGAAGGCACTAATAACTAGGGAGATAAGGTAGAAGTACATGTAGAAGTAGTGCTTGGAAGATGAGGGATTCTAAGAGGTAGAGCTAAGGAGAGAGGACATTTCAGGTGTGGGAGAGGAGAGAGATGTGAGAAGTGAAGAGTGGAAAGGTGAGTTTGGCTGCACCATAGAGTGAGAGGAGAGTAATGTATAATGAGGCTGCAAAGATCAGTTGGGTACAGGTTGTCTAGGACTTAAGAAAGTCAACTAGAAGTGTTTCTGTATGATCCTAGAGGCAATAGGTTGCTGCTAGACTTTATTGAGGAGTTCGACCTGGTCATACTTGGACTTTTAACAGTTTGTGGAGGATGGATTGGAATGGGGAGACACTTGTGGCAGGGAGAGCAATTAGGAGGCTACTTATCTAATATTTATTGAATATGTCCTGTGTGTAAAGCACTGTGCCAAGTGTCCTGGATAAACGCTAATAATACTGTTGATGACAGCACTAACAATAATTCTTAGTCTACAAAATAGTAAAGGCATTTCATTATTCTTTTTGAATCCAAGACCTACCACTTATGGACCAGAGGATGGAGTAGGGGTAATATGTCCTGGCACAGGGTTGTTCCACAGTGCTATAGAGGGATATTAAGTCTGAGAGTATAATTGCTTTAGCTTATTCTTTTTTTCCTTTTTTGTGGCATTGATGATATCTGGAAAACCATGTCCACTCAGAATAACAGAGTTGAGGCACAGCTAGAAAAGCAAACTTGTTCTTGTGATCAATTGTTGCCTTGATGTGATTTTGCTCTAGGGAGAGCCTCAGAGAGGTGCATTTACGGTTTCCTCCAGGTCAGTAGGTGCCAAGTACCATAGTTTTGGTTCTGTTGTTTTCCTCATTTGTCTGAGGGAACACTGTTTCTAGCACCTCAGTTTGCAGTAACCTAGCAGGATGAGATTTGGGTGTTTTGACCAAAGGGCCTACATAGTGTCTTTTTCTTCTCACTTAGCAACACCTTTCACCTGGGGATTTGGGTGATGATGGAAATAGATTTGATCCCAAGATGGCAGCATATGTACAGACTTAACTTACAGTGTCAGATCCCATTGGCTTTTTGCTCAATGAGTGAGTGAGGAGAGAAGGAGCTGATGTTTAACCTTTATATCTTTCACATATACAACATACCTATCCCTCACATCACTGGAGTGATGGCCTATTTTCTAAGAGCAGTTGCTTAAAGTCACAGCCCACTTTCCCTCCCACCCCTGACTTAATCCATCATCATATTTGCTACTCTCCAATTATGATATTCCAACGTAGGGGAGGTTTATTAATTTTCTTCATGAATATAAGCAGGATGGGACAATCAGGGCTTTGTCCAAGCAAAGACAAACTTGCAGGATGCCATATATGTTGGGAGTGTGTAGCTAGGGGTTCATCCGTGGGAGGGTAACTTGAAAGGGGTAGGACTACCACCACTTGAGGCTCTTCATGCAAACTCAGTTCATTCGTGAGCCCTCCACTAAGTGTGGGGAAGTTGGAACCAGGGATCTCCTTTTCCTCAGGTCAAGGCTTCAATTCAATTTAATGTAATAAACATGTAGTAAGTACCCACTGTGTTCCAAGTACTGAGGATGAGGGAAAAATAAAATAAATATGCCCTCAATAAGCTTACATTCTATTAGGGGAAAACAATAAGAACCCAAGACAAGGCCAAGATGGGAGGAATGGGTCTGGGAAGGATGAATGGTACCCAGTCTTTAAGCCTCTGAACTAGGGACAAGCTAGGTGCCTGGCCTCCTTTAAGACTCATCGTCCATGCACCTCCTCTATTCCCTGCCCCTCATCTCCCTAGCTATGGACACTTTCCTGACTGCTGCCCAAGGTACAAAGATTTCTGGTTATGGCTGTGTTCATCATCCCTAGCTTATATCAAATGAGATATTTATTTATTTAGCACAGGGCCTGGCACCTAGTGTGAATTTAATAAATGCTTCTTCCTTTTCCCTATATCAAGTTTGCCTTAGCAACTGTGTGTGTATATATTGAACACTTCTTGTGCGGAGGAAAAGAGAAAGACTTTGAACTGCTAATTCTTCTCTTGGAACAGTAGAACAATAGGGGAGAGATCATCTGATATAAGCTAGGGATGATTCACAGGTAGGTACGGTATTGTAAGTGTGGAGGGCCTGGGGCCAGGTGTCCTTTCAGTGATAGGTGTTCAGGCTGTTTGGTTTTACTGGGAAGGTCTGTAGTTAGTAATGTGTAGGCCTATGAAGAAATTAGCCATCGCAGGTGTCACAGGCCTATTTTATTGCAGTCCTGTACTATATGAAGTTCTCTCCTACTTCTTGTCTCTGCTGCTTCTTCAGGTGTTAGGACCATGTCACAGGTGCCAAATGATTTGCATTGATCAACAAAATGGACAAAGAAACCAAGATGTATTCCAAACACTTTCTTCTATTCGAGAAAGAAAGGTAGGTGGAACTGAAAAGTGTCTCTGTGGTATATATTTAAGATGATGTGCAAATTGTCTGTGGCCAGTACTTTGTTCATATCCAGTGTTAAGACATCCTTGTTAACTGTGATTGGGTATTTTCTTTACAGTCTGGAATTATAGGGAAAAAAGGATTATAACTTAAAGTTTCCATGGGTTTATTTACCTCCAGAGGTAGGAAGATAAATAATCAATCGTTTATTGATTCATTTAATCAAACAGCTTTTATTAAATTACTAGGGAATGAGGTGTTTCATGGGTCTTTGCGGTAGAAGAAGTCATCGCTTAGTGGCCAGTTCGCTGGTGATGAGGATATTTATAGTTACCTATCCTGTTCCTAGGACAAAATTGGGAGTCTTTGCAGTTCAGTAGAATCTGTCAAAGTTTGCACTCTGCTGATGTGACCTTTGAGAACTCAGGAAAGTTATTGAAGTAGATGCTGGGACCTGGAAAAGTAGGAAGAGACATGGGGAAATCAAGTGCTATACTAATATCTACCAAATATTAAAAAGTCCAGAGGAAGATTTCCAGTGTGGCAAGTAGATCTTCTTATGGAAGGTTTATGGAATTACATGAGCAAGAATCACACAGAATGAAAAGTTATAGATGGGGCTGTGTTTTGTACCTCCAGAGTATATTCCCTGGGCACAAAGTCCACCAAGGATTGAAACACAGACCAAGCTCCTTCCTGAGCATTGTCCTTGTCCTCAGGGAGCTTGCAATAAAGTTGTAGAAACAAAACATAGATGAAGCAACTGTATGTAAACAAATTAAAAACAACACAATATGAAATACTGTTTTTACCAGTGTATTATTCCCCTCCTGTATTCTATAACCACATACACTTTCAAAATGTTTTTCATGCATAATTTTCTTTCTGCCACCTTATTATTATTTGAAACATCAACCTGACAGCTAACAGGGGCTACTGTCATTGAGCCCTGTACTGGCAGGAGTCGGTTAAAGAGACAGGCAAACCAATGCAGGGGTAGGATATTGGAGACCTCATACCACAATCTCTTCCTTAGGGATACTTCTGGTGCTCCTTCCTAGTTCTCTTGACGGGTATGGACAGTCATATGTTTTCAATTACACCTCAAGCCTTGTGGCTATGAACTGAGCCAGGGGCTGTAGCATTTGCACAGTTCATTCCTTGGATCAAAGTTGTTAAAGCTCTGAAACTTGAATGGAAAGGAAATACCACTGATTAGCCACCTTCATTATGTCTTTTTCACAAATATATGGAGCCATTGGTCCAGCTACTCTGAAAAGCATTTTGGAACTATATACCCAAAAGTCATTGAAATTTGACCCTATAATTCTATTACTAGACACATACTCCAAAGAAATGAAAGAAAGGGGGGAAATACCCATGTGTATATAATATTTCTAATAGCTCTTTTTGTTGTAGGAAATAACTGGAAGGTTAAGGGGTGCCCATAGTTGGGAATGGCTAAGCAAATTATGATACACATACATAATTAAATATTGTTACAGTATAAGAAATGATAAAGGGATAGATTCAGAGAAACTTGGGAAGACTTACTTGTATAAGCTGATCTAGAATGAAATGAGCAGAACCAGGAGAACAAGTTAAACAAGGGCTAAAACATTTAAAAATCCCAATAATTTAAAAAGACATAAAACCTCTGATCATTTTCTTATATTATTAATCTGTTGCTAGGCCAAATGGATGGAATGCTGCACCTGTTCTATCTCCCTAAGGGGCTCCTTTCAAGTAGGTTCAGTCTTACGGGGGATCTTAGGGTTTCTTAGCCTAGCATCTGTGAACTTGTTTTTAAATATTTTGATAACTATTCCATTATAATTGGTTTCCTTTGTAATTCTATGGATTTAATTTTATGCAATTTAAAAATGTATACTGAGAAGAGACCTATAGATATAGCGAGACTGCAAAAAATGCCCATGATATGAAAAAGATTAAAAACCTCTAACCAAGAAGTTGGATCTTTGACTCATCATGTCTCCTACCCTGCTTTAACTATTCAAAACTTAAGTTTTGACTCATGTTTAAAGTCTCCTCAAAGGGAAGTGGCAAAGTACTCATTGTACTACACAAATCAGACGTGGGACAGGAATTTATTTCCTACACACAAAAAGAATGTTAAAGGAAACACAAGACTTATAGTATGCATTGACAAAACTTTAGCAAGCAATAATATTCATGATATATTAACATTTGCATATTAATAAATGTATAACATAACTACTATTATAATCTCTCAGGAGGCTAATGCTTAATGGGACTATCTAATAGACATACCATGTTTCACTTTAGTTCTATACTGTACTGTCTAAACAACTCCTGGTCTCTGTTTCCTGCTAATTAGAAGTAGCTAAGTGGCACAGTGGGTAGAGTGTTGGTTCTGGAGTTTGGATGACCTGAGTTCAAATCTCTCCCTATATATTTACTAGCTGTGGTGACCCTGAGTAAGGCATTTAAACTCTGTTTGCCTTAGTTTCCTCAACTGTGAAATGGGGAGGATAATAATAGCACCTACCTCCCAGGGTTGTTGTGAGGATCAAATGAGATAACTGTAAAATGCCGAGCGCAGTGCCAGACACCTGGCAGGTCCTATATAATGCTGTTGTTGTTATCATAATTTTCATTAATCCAGGCAAGAGGTTGGGCCCATCCTACTGTGCTAGTGATCATTGTCTTTCATGAACAAACTCCCCTTACCACCAATTGGCTCTATCTGATGAACCCAGGACATCTTGAACTCACAAGATCATCACCCGAAAGCAAAGAAGAGTCGAACCCAAACCCAGAAACAGGCTTACCTATACTGGAAGTTGGTTTTAGTTGCTGCATGCTCATGGATGGCTTAGATGGGGGATGGAGCAAGCTGCCCTCCCCTACCCCCCCACTCCTCTTGGAGCAGTTGAAGAAAGATAAAATTATCCAGAAGCTGTCTCTTCTTTTTAATTGACAAAGTAACCTCCTTACCCCTGCTGCTGTCAGGGGGCAGAGACAGGACCACAGGATCAGCTGGAATTTATTTCTTCATACCAAATTTCTAGAGTTTGGTTTTTTTTTTGGTGTGGCACCATAATGTGTCCAGAAGCACTCATGGGCTCATTATCCTAAAAAAAAATTGTTTTGCCATCCATTGCTGGAGGCGAGGTCACTTCTACACATGTTACATGGGATAGCCACATTAGAAACGCAATGACCTATCATGATGCCAGACAGCCAATCATAAAACATGTTTTCCACCTCTTAACAGAGAAGTGACGGACTAGAGGTGAAGAATGAGACATGCATTTTTGGATACAACCAATATATGAACTTGCTTTGCTGATTTGTAAAAAAAAAAGTTTAACTTAAAAAAAATTAGTGGGGGAGTGTATGAGTGGGAATAGGAGGACAATTGATAATGGTGCCCAAAAGAAGAAAAGGAAAAAGAGTTTGCATGAAGCATTTTTAAAATACTCAGAAGAGAATGAAGGAAGTTCAGAAGGAGATACAGATGAGCAAGATAGATTTGGAACTAACACATTAAATTTACTATGTACTTACAAATAAGAGGTACATAATTATGATTTGTGTTTTCATATACTGTCTTCTTTTTCTTATTTGTATGTGGAATTGTTAATGCTTGTTGATATTTGTCAAGATCAAAATTAAGAATAACCAGATCTGTGGAGCCTAAATTAGAAGTCTTTTATGCTTAGCGTTTGGGAATTACTGAAGAAGAAATATCAGGAGAGAATGATGTTTTCATTAACGTTATTGCCAATTGCTATTTATTTAAATCTGATTTAGCCACTTCTTTAGTAAATGAGAGTGGGATTCTCATATATTAATAAGGATGGTGGCAGACTAAGATCTGGCTGTATACATTATTCTCCACAATTCTTCTGTACCCTCACTTTAAAGTGAAAATATCACATGAGAGAAAGGAGAAATTAAGCTAGTATGAATGGTGTACAAGTACAGAAAAGTGAAAAGGGAATAATCAGTGTGGGTTGAGATTTATCAGAAATCACCTCTTCAGTGGTGGTTGCTGTCTGTTCTTGAAAAGGACCAAAATGACATCACTATGTTGGAGTCAAAGTACAGTGTGTCCAACCTGTCTGATCAGACCACTGCGATCTTGGAAGGCTCTACCACAGGTCAGGCACAAAAATAATTCACATGAGCATTTGAAGTGGAGATGTCTCTAAATTTGCCCATCTCATGTTTCATTTGAACTACTGCAATTCTGTTTCTCACATAGAGCACAGCGCCTTCTTTGATGCAGGCACAGCGCGCTGGGTGGTTGTCAGTATCTCCCGTGTCACACAATTGATTCCAAAGTTCTTCAGAGAAATCTTGTATCACTTCTGACCTTCATGTAAGCATTTGCCTTGTGTGAGTTTTCCATAAAATGATCTTTTAGAAAAATGTATGTCTGGTATTTGAAAATCATGGCTGGCCCATTGGAGTTACACTCTCTGTAGTAGAGTTTGAATGCTTGGCAGTTCATCTCGAGAAAAGACCTAGGTGTCCAGTATCTTTCCAGGTCATCTTCAGAATCTTCTCAAGACAATTCAAATGGAAGCAATTCCGTTTCCTTGCATGGCACTGGTAGACTGTCCAGGTTTCACAGGTATACAATAATGAGGTCAGCACAACGGCTGTGTAGACCTTCAGTTTCAGAGGCAGTCTAATACCTCTTCTCTCCCAAACTTTCCTTTGGAGCCTCCCAGACACTAAGCTAGCTCTGGCAATGCCTGTGTCAACCTCATCATCTTTGTGTACATTCCTGCCAAGATAAGTGAACTCATCCCCAACATGCACTATTTCTCCATTTGCTGTACCTGATGGTTCCACATATGGACAGTACAGTGCTGGCTGGTGGAGAATCTCTGTTTTCTTGGTGTTAATTGTTAGGCCATAATTTGCAAAGCAGCAGAGGATCAATCCACAGTTTATTGCATCTCAGCCTCAGAGGCTGTATTGAGTGCACAGTC